GCTAGTTCAGCGATTTCAGGTGGCCGCGCGCTCGTTTGCCACCTTATGATTAAAAAATTAGTATCCGTAACTACTGATTAAAACATTGCTCTTTTGATAGCACAGATTATAAACTACAGATTATCTTCTCTATGACTTCTCGAGTAATACAAACAATCTTTGTTATTTTGTAGAACATAACAGCGTCTTTATAAACAGATCATCGGACCCAATCTCGATAAAGTTTTGTCTCGAACTTTGAAAGAGGATTAGGATCATTTATTTATATAAATGGATATCCCAAAACCCACGGACAATGAGTAAACTTTGTCGATAAATTTCATTAAATATATTAAAATATAATTTCAGATTTAATAGTGCAACAGTGAATTTTGTATAATAGTTTTATTCATTTAGTTTATTGTTTTAACTGTTTTAGTTTTTATTAAATTATTGCATATAGTTTTAAAAGTTTTAACAGTTTTTAACATTTATTATTTATATTTTGTTTTTAACTTTTTTAGCATTAACTAGTTTTAAACTTTAATTGTATTTAGTTTTAGAAATTTTTATCAGTTTTTAATGTTGAATATTTAGCTATAAGATTGATTGTTTATAAATATTTTTACACTTTTTTATTGAAATAAAAGCCGCATCGTAGGTCCCTGACCCAAACATGTTAGGGGAACGAGAGGGCGGCATAGAGCCCAAAAAATCAGTGAATTTTGAACCTATGGCATGTAGCTGGTGATAATATAATTATGACACTATTGTCTCACCTTGGCATTGGTGGTTTAGAGTTACACCACCATAGGCCCACGATCGTGGTACAGTAATTCTTCATTCAACGATCCGAATACGTCTGTCTCAGTCTGGCATATGAACGCCTACTTCTACTATGAGACACAAAGACAGAAGGCACTACAGATACTATGCTAGAAAAACTTAAGACTTGTTAATTAACCTAATACTAGTTTATTTTTTACCTATCTATAAATTAAATTGGAATTTCCGTATGTAATCTCTCTCTCTCTCACTCTTTCTCTCTCTCTCTGCCTAGCTTGCATCCCTCAAGGTGGTGGGGTCAGCTTTTCCAATACGTCTGTTCCACTTCGCTCTGTCCATGACATCTTCCTCTGGAACTTGGCACTTACTCATGTCTTTTATTACTACATCTTTCCATCTGGTTTTGGATATAATATAAAAAAAATGTTTCGTTCATTTACTTAGAATTTTTAATTTATAAATATTTTTGTCTGTCTTGCAAATCCGGTTTGTTACGAATAATCTCCGCATCAGATTAATTTTGACTTAAACTGGAAGTTAGCTGATGTGTTCGTGAGTAACATACTTTTAGCCTAAAACTAATAGATATATAATTAGGTATAAAACAAGACGTCTGTGCAACGTCTCTGAAGTAATAAATAGACGAAGCCGTATAAATGTGTCTTGATATATCACATTGGCGGCCATTGTTTCGCAGCTAACATAATAAAATGCTGAACAATGTTAACTTAGGAATCTTGTGTTGGATGCCAAGTTATATATTTTGGAATTATTTGTATACACAGACTGGTCAATGAGTATCAGTTATAGAGAGTTCTCCCTTATCCTGGTTCGACTGTATATGTTTTTTTTTTTTATATCAAAAGGTGGCAAACGAGCGTGCGGCCACCTGAAATCACTGAAATAGCGAAGTGACCGTTGCCCATAGACATACGCACTTGCATATGCGTTGCCTACCTTTAATCGACGGAGGAGAGGATGCACACAAAGAAAATATCTTCCATTTCCATGCATCCTCTCATCCGGAAAGTCTACTTTCACTTCCCATCCTTGCCTTATAAAGAAAAGGATGGGAAGGGAAAGAGGACTAAATTAGGCCTCCGGGACGCACACTCATCAGACGAAACGCGGAATTGCATCCACTTCACGCCTGTCTTCTGTGTGGTCATGGTATTTCACCGGGCGAGCCGGGCCGATTCGTGCGAAGATGTTAAAGCGGGCTCTACCACTGTTAAAATTGCATTGAGATGTATCGTGTTTTCGTACCAGGCGGTAACATTCGTGCGTTCACAACTTCTCAGATTTCTTTTACTAGGTCATATTGTGGTATAGGTCAAAATAAAGTTCTTTGGAAATATGAAATAAAACAATATTTTTTATTAAATTTATAGAGTCTTATATAAATATCAACGTTTTCAAACTTTGACGTATTATCCTACTATCGTACTAATATTATAAATGCAAATGTTTAGATGGATGGATGCTTGAAGGTATCTCCAGAACGGATCTCAATCAAATTTGGCATACATATAGAACATCTGGAAGAACACATGGGCTACTAATTACGTTTTTTTAACACCGCGCAGACGTAGTCGCGGGTGGCAGCTATTTTTTTTAGAAATCCTATTACATACATATTTTTTTTAACTTTACATCAGTATAGTTTTTAACTTACGTAGTTTTAGCTGCAAGTATTGACTCGTGTCTATTTTATTTTTGTATCTCTGTTTTAACATATATTTTATACATTGTGAAGTTTTCGATTCCTTTACGAGTCGTAATTTACATTTACAATTTACGTCCATAAAATCCGTCATTGTATCGATAAAAACAATAAATTCAACTAAAAGTCGTGAAAACTACGAGATTTGTATTTATTTACTCGACCGGTATCCCACGGAAACTATTTAAAACGACAATAAAAGTCGAATCTAACACCTGCTTTTAAATATAGAAGCTCATTTCCTATGCCGTAAAATTGGTTTCTGAAAAAAATAGCAAAACAAACTTCCTAGTTACTGGTAGTCCACAGGCTTCAAATAAATGAGTCAATTTAGTAGAGTCATTGAACTTAAAAATAATTTGAAGATCCTACACGGACTACTCAAGTCAGTATCGACAGCTTTAGATCGCCGGTCTTGAGACCTTCACTTTTAAAGGAAACTGAAAATGCGTCCGCATATTATGATCTTAACTGTAGATAGTGTATGTCCACCCTTATTCTTTACCTTTAGATTTATGTAACGTGTTTGGTTTGAACTTTCATATAATTAACAGAATTCATGACAATTTTTACATTAGTAAATTGGATGCATAAATTTGACACTAAACTTATAACATAATATATTTTAATAGTGGTATAGCCTGCCTTAACATCTTCGCACGAATTGTCCCGACTCGACCGGTGAAATACCACGACCACTCAGAAGACAGGCGTGAAGTGAAAGCAATTCCGCATTTCGTCTGATGAGTGTGCGTCCCGGAGGCCTAATTTAGTCCTCTTTCCCTTACCACCCTTTTCCTTATAAGGAAAGGATGGGAAGTGAAAGTGGACTTTCCGGATGAGGGATGCATGGAAAGGGAACATATTTTCTTTCTGTGCATTCTCTCCTCCGTTGATTAAAGGTAGGCAACGCATATGCAATTACTTATGTCTATGGGTAACAGACACTTCGCTATTTCAGCGACTCCTGGTGGGCGCTTGGTCTTTTGAAACCTCATGATATAAGAGAAATATACTTCCTAAGGATATTTGAAACTATAACTTAAGTTAGAGATTAACAAACACATACTATTTTCTACTTAAACTATGTTACATAGGGGCTTATTGCCAAATGTACACAAATATTGGATAAAAGCCAGTAAGTTTGGTTTCCGGTCTACATTATGCATTTCCTATATGTATTTAAATAGATAATAAATATGTTAAAATAGTACATAGCTTATGACTTATATTTGTTCTGTATGAAAAACTATATTACATAAAAAACATATAAAATATTTTTATAATATATCTCGAAAAAAAAACAAATTACTTTTAAGTAACAAGAAACATGGCTTTACACGTGAAATAAATGATGCTTTCAGAATAAAAAAAAACAAATACTGATTGTCATAATAAAAAAAATAATATTCAAGTTATTTTAAAAGGCATAAATGCGAGGATAAAGCCTTTGTGTTTTATCTGGACTGCACAGTCGCAGCTTAAAATATCCTCATTTAATGCCTTTCTTACACACGAATTTAAACTTACAAATATTTTTGACTCGTTCATATAATGTTATCTTTTTAATATTATAAATGCGAAGGTTTAGATGGATGGGTGCAAGAAGTTATCTCCGGAACGGCTCCACGGATCTTGATGAAATCTAGCATAGATGTAGAACATAGTCTGGAAGAACACATAGGCTACTAATTAATTTTTTTTAACACAGCGCTGAGTCAATGGTGACAGCTAGTCTACAATGAAGGAAACATTTATTATATTAAAGTTACTTAGTCAAATATTTAAAAGAAATAAGGCTAGGCAGAGGTTTTTAGCACAATCCTAAATTATCTTCAGTTCAGGCAGGGATTCGTGGATAAAAATAAAAAAAACAAAAGTGAACGGAAATAAAGAAAAGAACAAAGGTTATTTTGTTGTAAGAAATATGAGAAAAAATTACATTTGAATTTAGAACATATATTTTTTAATTAAGATATTAATGGAGTTATAATTTTGAGTATTCCATTATAACTGGCAGTGTACAAAATAACATTGTTTCTAACTTAATTTAATACAGTATCAAGTTCAATTACCTAGTTTTCATCACTAATAGTAGACGAGAAACTCAATGTAGAGTAACTCGAGCGCTACATGGAACTATAGAATTGTGACGCTAGGATAAAGATAAAAAAGCTTAAGTATTTTTAGACATTATTAGTAAGAATCCTTTGTCGCGAATACGCGCTTTCATTACAAAGTCAAGTGTCAGATTGATTAGTGAGGGGACATAAACGTTGACATTTTAATAAGGCTAGTGTTGCGCCGATAAAGCACAGTGTCGGGTTTTCTTCCTAACAGTATGTAAGGTGATGTCATTGAAGCGGTGAAGGGGAGTTACACAGGTTTTTAAATCCAGCCAGATATAAACGACAGGTCAGATTTCACGGTTACATTTTACATAAGTTTAATTTGATGCCTGAAATTTTAGATAAGTAATAAATTGAGTCTTATTGGGTTTGAAAGTACTTACCTCTGGATTGATCGGTGGCGGCATAACAATCTTTTTTTGAGGCGGTGATCTTAACACGACATTCTCATCTCTTATTATAATCTGTGGTTCCATTGCTAAGAGTTTCTTCTTGCATTCTTGCATTTGTAGACATTCTTTGTCTTTACGTGACAGCACGGATTCGGATGAAGCATGCTTTGATGATCCCACTGATGTATTCTTGCTAGATAGTTTTAAACTGTCCATAGATGCTGTTATTTTGGAACTCTCTTTACCGTTTGATGACGCCATTTTTATTCACTTCACAATATCCAGAGTCATATAAATAAGATTCAGATTCTACTTTTAATTTATATTTATAAAATCAACTGCTGTTCTTTACTCGTACGTAACTCGGAAACGACTGAACGGATTTATCTCATCTTGGTCTTGAAATGTTCATGCTTATCTAGGGAAGGTTTAAAAGGAATAATTTGAATAATTTAGGCGAACTAATTAAGTTTTTTTCCATTCTACGCGGAGGGAGTCACGGGTGACAGCTAGTTAGGAATAAAATCATCATATGTTTTAAAGACTTTTGTTTTGTTTATACAGGGTGTCCCAAAAGGTTACGTACATAGGAAGGGGGATGATAGGTGTGGTCACAAGGGTCACCAGAAAAATAAAATGAAAATTCCCCTCTGGGTATTAAAAAAATAAATGTAATTTTTTAAAAACTTATAAATTTTACACTTTCTGGGGCAATTTTGTAACCGATGTCCTACAAATATTGCTATATTTAAAAAAAAGCTATTATGTTATCGTCAATAACCTTTTATCAATATGAATTAAAAAAAACAATACAACTAACAAAGATTTTAAAGAAAATTAAAATTGCCCCAGAAGGTGTAAAATTTTTAAGTTTTAAAAAAATGCCATTTATTTTTTTTAATACCCAGATGGGAATTTTTATTTTATTTTTCTGGTGACCCTTGTGACCACCCCTATCATCCCCCTTCCTGTGTACGTAACCTTTTGGGACACCCTGTGTATCTATAGAAATAAAGGTTTATGATTATTATAATTAAATGATAGTTATTATAAGATAAAATGTGATAGTTTTCAATGTATTTGTCCTGTTCTTTGTACGTTATAAATATATTGGCAGATATCAAATCGTGACGAGTATCTTGAGAGTTGAAAATGTTGTATTTAAAACAGAAAATAAATTTCTTTCAACATAATTTATGTACAAACTATTCATCAACAATTTTTAGTTCATCGATCATTATTTAAAAAATAAATAAACAGATCGAATAGTTTATAAAATACGTCAAAATATGATTGAATTATATCAGGAAGCTTAAGATATACAAATATTATGTATTTTTTTATATTACACCTCTGAAAAATACGAGTAGATTTCACATGTAAAGAAATGTTCGTATACTTTTACTCACAGGATAAATATAAGATAAAAATATCTTTTTTTTTAACACGATATAGAGTTTCTAATCGTATAATTTTATTCTTACTAATATTATAAATGCGAATGTTTAGATGGATTGGATTGATGATGTTTGTTTAAAGGTATCTACAGAACGGCTCAACGGATCTTGATGAAATTTGGCATAGATGTTGAACATAGTCAGAAAAAACACGTAGTCTATTTTTTTTAATTCTACGTGGATAGAGTCTAGATTGAAAGGTAGTTTGATACAAAACATAATTTATAAACAAAATATTTTTTTTTAATTGTATTCGATGTTAAATTAAATATTATAATGAGCCGACAACTTGAAAAACGAATTAATTTCAGTTTGTTATTCAATGGTTGTAAAATTAATTAACTCTGTTATTTTCATTATTATATGTTTACATTACTCTACACTATTTAAATGTAATCATGATATTGGATTGATTTTCAAGTATGTTAAACATCGTCCAATATATTTATAGTTTCATAATTATGGTATACATTATCAACCTACTTTTATCCCTACATAGGGTCGGCATAGCATGTACTCCTCCATACATCATACGTCATATCGGATTCCACCTCCTTCTTACGCATATCCTCTTTCACAGAATCAATCCATACTTTCTCTGGTTTGATAAAATTATCCTATATAGAAATATTTAAAAATGCGTTAAAAGTTGTACGTTTAATTTTATAATATGTTTAAAATTAACCCACAATGATAGTAGAGTGAAGAAAATATATATTGAATTGTTTAAAAAAAAACACGCATAAGGAAGGTGTTAATCTTACTCATATTGTAAATGCAAATGTTTAGATGAATGGTTGAAGATAACTCCAGAACGGCTTAACGGATCTCGATGAAATTTGGCACACATACAGAACATAGTCTAGAAGAACACATAGGCTACTAATTATTATTTTTTTAAATTGCGTGCGGACGGAGTCGCGGGCGACCGCTAGTATAAAAGATAGAGAATAATGGAAGAGGAATATGTTCTTTGCCAATCCTCCTAAGGACATACTGATGATATTTTAAAAATATTTAGATAAAATAAAAATTGTATAAGATTGTTTTACACTAAAATAAAAATGTAGTAATACTAAACTTGTTTGTTGATAGAAAAACTTACGCGAAACAAAATCTAATATCCTATTATCGATTATGGAAATCTATACCGAAGTCATTTTAATGTCTTTAACATATTATTTATAATCTCCATCCCTTAGATGCTTAGAAATCAATAAAGTATTTAAAACGCGATTAATTTTGCACATTAAAACACAAATAATACGACACACGAAAAACGCTTTAATTAGATTTAGATTCACATTATTTTTTAATATATTTTTTGTAAAATGTACGATGTGTTTTGTGTATTGTTCGTTGGTTGGTAGAGACGTCCACCACGCAACGCGGCTAGCGACGTACTGACGAAGCTCTAGGGTTGCCAGACAATTTTCCCGCACGAATTGTACCCTGGTTAGATTTACACAAAACAAAACGTACTTGAGCCGCGTAAATGTAATTGGTTTACGTTTAAAATATTAGTAATAGGAATATTTTTGTTGATTTAAAAATTTACAGATTCTTGGAGATTTAAGTACTAATTAAATTAGCATTAACAAGAGATATTTTTTTTATTTTCAAGCATCTTGATACATATAGCTTAAAAATATATGACTATCGTAGGGGGGGAATATTTACGAGATAGTATTTATGACGTCATCGACAAATGTAATTCAAATTTAAAAATAGAAATGTCAATTACGTTAGCAATTGTTTCTCGCAAATATTCATGAAAGGTCATCAAAAAGTAGAGTAATTTGAACCAACACGAATAAGATATAAATTAAGTATACTACGACAGTATTTTGACTAAATATGTCGGTTATCACGCAAATCATTAGGTTCAACGTAAGCCTGATTTACGCGTCTACGCTTTGCGTAGCGGCGTAGCATCAGTTTGATGGATAAAAAAGTCAAATGTTATCATAGCTTTTTTGTTACACAAAGGATGAAGTGCTTTATATTTGTATAGCTGATCTTATATTTGTTTTACTATGATAGTGAATCTAAGAAATACCAAAGAGAAAAGAGATCTGGGATAGTTCTATGCTTGCATGTCTAAAGCTCCATTGTTTCATACCAATATTAACTTTTAAAGACACAAAATTTAAGAAATTATTATTTTGAACAAGTTATTAAAGAAGAAAGTAACATATTTGTAAATCATTTTATAGAGTCAATTCTTTACAAAAGACATTAAATAAAAAGTTAAACACATTTAAAATCAATTTACTGGCAAAGAAATTGAAAATATATCTGAAGAATTTGGCAAATTCCAGAAAATGGCAACATTTCTTTCGGATCGTACTAATAAATTATATGATTGGTACATTAAGATTCTCAAGGGGGACACTCCTTTATGAGTTTTCAAATTTGAATAACTTCCAATTTGTTTTCCCTTTCTCGGGACTTTCTTTTAGGCGTGTTCTCGAAGAAAATGGATCAAATTAATTCTTTTGATCAGCACCTTTTAAATTATTAATTACTTTTATCGATAATAAAAATGGTTTTTATTCTTGACTGTTTCCTTTTGATCTGCTACTCGTTTTATTTTATTTTGTAACAAAGGGTGATAAACTTATAAATTGCCTACTTGAATTCGCGAATATTGCTAAGAAACCGTTGGCCATAGACATAGGTATTTATAAGATGCATTTCCTTTAGTCAACAGAGGAATGGACATATAGAAAGAGAATATTTTCCCTTCCTGTGCATCCCCCGTTCTGTCCCTTCTATAACAAATCCACTTTCACTTCCCATCCCGATCTTATAAGAAAAGAGTGGGAAGGAGGAGTGGACTAAAATTAGGTATCCAACATGCACAGCCATCAGGCAAGACGTGGAATTACTTCCACTTTTCGCCTTTATCTACATGTTAAGTATTATACATATAAATTTTTTATCTTAGCACTAATTCTTAATTTTTCTAATCTGTTCTAGTAATATTCTGTATATTTTTCTATAAGACGTGTTCTAAGAATCAGATCGTAATTTGTTTTTTTGAGAAAAATGATTTTTGTGCTTTCAAACTCTACTATACAGGATGTTTATATTTTATCTATAAAATTCTCGTGTCACAATTTTCGTTCCCATACTCCTCCGAAACCGCTTGACCGATTCTCATGAAATTTTGTGAGCATATTGAGTAGGTCTGAGAATCAGCCAACATCTATTTTTAATCCCGCGCGGACGGAGTCGCGGGCGACAGCTAGTTTATATATAACTTAACAGATGGAAAATATAACCAAAATGAACTTAAGAAAATCATGAGATTTTAAATCAATGTATTCTGGCAGTAATGTAAATTGAAATGTCTCTTGAAAAAACGCATTATTTGTCTGAGACTGTATGTAGTAGCTAATAGTTTTTTATTTTAATTAAATACTAGCTGTTGCCCGTGACTACGTACGCGCGGTTTTAAAAACAAACTTAATTTGTAGCTTATGTGTACTTCCTGACTGTGCTCTACATCTATGCTAAGTTTGCAAGATCAATGCAACCGTTCTGGAGATACCTTCAAACATCCATCCATTCAAACATTCGCATTTATAATATTAGTAACAAGTAAGTTTCTCTTCATTTAATAATATCAAATATTTCATTTGAATAGTTTAGTTACAGATAACGAAATGAAGTTGTACAAATATTATGTCTAGTAAATACAAAGGAGCCATCTATTCACTGGCTCTTTTGTGAAATGAAACGGACGTCCGATACAATCAGACGTTCCGAACACGAGATATGACGTTGAAAGACTTAATATACGTTTCAATAGCTTTATAAATAAATATCTTTATAAAATAACTA